CCCCAAAACCCCAAAACCCCAAAACCCCAAAACCCCTTAATTCCAAGGAAAAATTGCAGAGAAAATAAAATTTAAATTTAAAATGTCCACGAAAGCTGATCTTGCGAGAGGCCCAGGCGGGAGAGACATCTCTGGCTCTCAGAAAGGAGGCCTATGGGGCTCCAGCCAAGTTGATGAGAATATGAAAACCAAGAAGTTCAGGGATAAGAAGTTTGAGGGATATTCTGAGCTTAGAGGTTCCCTTGATGCCTCTAAAAGGAGAGGCAAAGGAGACTCTTCAGACCAGCAAGCTCTTAAACAACTTGAGGATGAGTATATTCTTAACCTTCAGAAGCAAATTGCTCTGATGGAGCAAGAACTTAAGCTACTTAAGGAACGTGAAGCTGAGCAGAATAAGAATGCTAATGTATACAAAGTTTTACTGCAGGAAGGAATTCCTGTTAATTCAGATTTCATTGCTCTGAAAGAAAAATTCAATGATCAGAAAGAAGTCTGGGAAAACAAACTCAGGAATCAGGAGGCTGATAACAAGGGAGAAATAAAGAATAATAAAGGCAAGGAGCATACTATTGTTATTCTCAACCATGAATTTGAGGACATCACTGATAGGTACAATACTTATAAGAAAGACACTACGACCATCATTGAAGATCTTGAGCACAAGATCTTCATAGAGCTTAATACTCTCGACAAGTTAAATAAAGATAGGGATGAGCTCTCTTCGAAACTTTTAGATCTGGAAGCTCAAAATACCCAATTTGAGCGGCTAATCACTAGGAATAAGATGTTCAACAAGAAGCCTGAGCTGATGAAGCAGAGGCAGGATGAGTTGAACAAGTGGAATAAGAAGATCAATGACCTATCCGCCCAGATCGCAGACAAGGACATGGAGCTGTATAGACAACAAGTTAAGCTTAGCGACAAAGATCTTATTAAGAAGCAGAATGAGGAGGTCTTAGAGACTACTCAGAAGTATAATAAAATCGATATCGAGATCAATATTTCTAAGAGCCAGATTAAGGAGCTTGAGGGGATCAAGAAGATGAATAATAGGATTCTTCAGGACTTGTATGCTGAGATCAGAGATTTAGAAGAAGAGAATGAAGCAATGCAATCTATTATTGAGCCAGATGCTATGGATGATATGAAGTTTGCAGAAGTGCTTGGAACAAAGGAACTAGAGAAAAAGATTGACCTTCAGAGCACTATTGAATCTGATAGCATCTACGTGGAACACCTACTCACAACCATGAAGGATGAAGAAGGTAAAGCTAAAGAGATGCTAGATGAAAAAGTGAGACTCGAGAACGACCTAAAACTCACTGAAGAAGATGCTGACAAGCTGCATGATCAAGTTAAAGAAGGCTACGAAGAGCATGTCAGGCTTAAGAGTCTTAAGGACCTTCTAGAGGTCAAAAAAGAACGCTTGACAGCTGAAGTCGAAGACCTTAACATTGAGAATGAAGATTATGCCAAAAAGAACGAAGAACTTGAGGAAGAGAATAAAGCTACAGAGGAGAAGATCAAGATGATGTTGAAGAAGATTGATGTGAACAACCTTCTCAAGGCAGTCAACATTGATGACCTGGCCGCAGCAGCTAAGAAGAACCAGAATGTGAACAAAGTACTGATGGCTATGATGCACAAATGGGAGCAAGTCAATATTGCAAATGAGTAAGAATTTATCACTGGAGTTTTCAAAAATAGGTTATATTTGGGGTTTTGGGGTTTTGGGGTTTTGGGGTTTTGGGG